GATGTTACGCCCACCACACAAATTTAGGACAACCTTTGTAATCACGTTAGGTCTTTATGGCTACAGCTCCGAGCCTACCTGAGGTTACCCACCTCTAGTCTAAAGGATGTGCCTTCAAGGGAGGACTTCGTGGGCATGCACATAGACTCTTTCGAGGACATGATCAGAAAACAAGCGGAAAAGGGGTTCTTAGAGAGATTACGCTCTGCAGAGAGAGCCAGACACACAATGACGTTTTTGCGTGAACCTACAAAAATGCTGGCTGAAGAGCTGATAGGAGACAGTAAAACTCTGCTTGCTAGTGCGACTTGTTACTGGCCACTGGCCCCCGACCTCTTATCTAGCGAACATAGGCGGGGGGAACGACCCTACATGCCCAAAATGCGGACTCACACTAAGTGCGGTGTTCTAGACGATATCCGGTGCGGTCTCCGAGAAGACTTGCATTAAAGACATTTATGTCGATAGGAACGGAATAGAAAGTCTCTACGAATTTACTCAGAGGGCCCTCATGTTGGCACGTATGCACTAGGCAACTGTCAATGAGCAGAGTGCAAAATGGCCGGAGCGCTTGTTGCACTTACTCACCCGTGAGGAACGCTCACTATCAACAGCGGAAAGGCAACAGAGGCAAGTAGTTATTCCATATTTGTTCAATAACCGAGCAGAATTCTAAGCTTTCCGTGATTTCCGTTCAACAGCATTGAAAAAGGCTGACCAAAAGTTCGCAAAAATATGTAATTTATATCGTGGTATTTTACCGGGTTACTGTTCCTCGACCATTTCACGTAAATTGATTCATTCTACCTGACGGGAAATCACCTTCGATGGCGAGAGTCCTGAAAGAAGAGAATATTAGATTAATTTAACTTGCTTTTTATTTTACATAATTTTTACGCGCACTGCGCTCCTGTTGAAGACGACGTTCTCAACTGGGTAACCGAGCGGCAACGTCTAAAGCTTCGTCGCGGAACAGCTCCCCAAGCCACGGTGTCATACGCCGGGGCACCGCTGCATTGTTCATGTTTCCCTGTCAGGGTGCCTCTAAACGGTACCGAAGGCTGCGTGGCCCGAGGGAATTCACATTATTAAGAGAAGACCAGATTAACGAGGATAGTAAGTGAGCGCTTCAATGACTCACAGGACGTACGAGATAGGCCAGATTAACTTGCATCACAGCACACTACGATGCAGACAGCCATAGCTCTCATTTAAGAACCATGGTCAGTGGATGGGAAGGTAAAAGGCCTATGGGGTTGTGGAAAGTTATTCCATGCAAACCCTGAAGAAAACAGGACAAGGGCTTGCCTTCCAATTAAAGGGACAGAGGCCGCTTTCCTGAGTATTGGGGATCTCGCAGTAGCGAGAATAAAAACCCAGCAACAAGCAGAAAGAGCGTCGAGTGCATAGTAGGGTCAGCTTATTTGCCTTACGAAACCGTGGAGCCTCCACCGACACAAGAAGTCCAGGACCTCACAAACAAAGTGGAAAAAGAAGGGCTAGAACTCCTGCTCGGATGAGACGCCAACTCCCACTACGTCGCTTGGGGGAGCTCCGACACTAAGGCAAGAACAGAAGCTCTACAGAACTTTATTTGGAAAAAGATCCAATGCTTTTAAACAGACGAACCGAGCCGATCTCCATGGATCGTAGAAGACATGAAGTACTGGGCATAACCATCTGTTCAGCAGGTACGGTGGACATGGTAGAGGACTGGAGGGTCACAAAGAACCCTCAAACTCAGATCATAGTCCGATACGCTTGAGTCTCGCAGAAAGGACAAACTCAGTTAATGGAGGAATCGAAAGGAAACAGGCTGAAAAGGTTACAGAGAAGAACTCTCAATGACAATACCAAATGCGCCCGCTCATTCAATAATGAAGGGCAACTAGAACCCGCAGCTGAGCAATTCGGCGAGGCGGCAAGAGGTTCTTTGGAAAACAACGGTGCCTTTCGTACTCAGGAGGGAACCAACAAGGTTAGTTGCTAAAACAATACGCTAGCAAGCCTGAGGAACCAACTGAGGAAGGCATGTAACAAATTAAGAACTCTCTAATGATAATGCACAGAAAAGGAAAGCGCTGGAAAAACGCAAGAGTCTCCAGAGAAAATAGAACAAACCTCTGGCGAAAGCCAGGAACGACAGTTGGAAAAAGTTCAGCAGCGGAATCGGGAGTCTTTCCGAGACCTCTAGACTAGTTAAAGTCTTAGAAGGACAGGGACGCATCAATCGGGGGTGTTTAATCAGGTCAGGTGGTAGCTAGAGCTGGGCCCCGTACCACATTACAACTGCTACTGAGCGAACACTTGCCTGGCTTCATCAGACAGGATGTTGTGCAACAGGCTCTCGATACAACGGAAGAATAATATAAATCTCGAGACTGGGCTCTAGCAGTCAAAATCGTGCACGCACAAGGGGTACAATGGGAAATAAATTCCTGCGAACCGCTAAAAGCACCAGGTCCAGATGGCATATTTCCAGCGCGTTTGTAAAAGGGAATGGACGTCATCCTGGGATATATTACAAGATCCTCAGAGCCAGCATGGCACGGAGGCCCGTACCGGGGGGGGGGGGGGGTGGATCGAAAATCGTATTCCTACCCAAATTGCCCAGAACAAATGGCCACCTCAAGCCAAGAGATTTCAGACATATCAGTCTAACCTCGTTCGTTCTCAAGACGCTGCGGAAGCTATATAAACAGCTTACTGCTAACAGACCGACTCCTGTCCTCATTGCATTATGCCTACAGAGAGGCAAGGTCAACAGAGACCACCCTGCACCATCTAGTAGCAAAAGTCGAGGAGGGAATACAGGAAAAAGGTTATGCAATGGGAATATATCTTGACATCGAAGGAGCGTTCAATCGCACCGAATATGATGTCATACTGGAAGCAATGTGAAGGAGGGGCTACCCAGAGACCATCACTGACCGGACGTCAAGCATGTTGCAGAGCAGATCATTGACAGCAACACATAACCGAGCGAAAGTAGAAATTTACTCCACAGGGGGCTGTCCAGAGTGCGGGGCTTTGTCTCCAATTCTGTGGTGTCTTGTGGTTGAACTTCAAAGGAAACTGCGGGAAGAGGGTCTCCGTGTATAGGGCGACGCCGATGCCGTAGCCATTATCGCAAGAGGAAAGTTCCTAAATCCATTAAAGTATAGATTAAGCTATTCCTCATGAACGCTGGGAAAAATTAAGTGATTAGACGAAACTCTCAATCAACCTGGACAAGTCATGATATTCACCAGAAGATACAAAGTGGTCACCTCTAAACCACTGCGGCTGGGAAGAGCGAATATCGCATACACCGGCTCGGTGATATATTTAGAAGCCCACCTCGACCAGAAGCTTTATTGGAAGGTGCGCATTAAAACACAGATGAGCAAAACTTACGCCTTACTGTGGGCATGCAGAAAGGCCATAGGCTGGGGCTTCAGCGTACAAACGTACAAAAATGGCTGTATAGGGTGGTCCTGCTGCCGCGAATCACCTACGCAGCAGTGGTCTGGTGGCCAAGGGGGAACAGAGCGGAATTCCAATGAAATTTTCTGAGGGGGGCAACCATGAAAACCACGCCGACAGACGCACTGGAAGTGGCTCTCGACCTGCCATCCCTGAATCTCTTGCTGATCAGCAAGGGAGAATCAGCTGCATACAGGCTGGTATGTCAAGGGGAATGGATCTCAGCAAGGGCAGCGCACGTCAAGCTGAGTATCCTAGAAAAAGAACTCTCAAACGAAAAACGTGACAGAACTCCCACGAAGGGCCAGATTAGGAAGTCATTACGCACTTATATTCCTGAAAGGGGAAACGGTCAAGAGATCACCAAGTTATAAAGTCACAAATTGGTACACGGACAGCTCAGGATACAAGAACCATTTCGCGGCGGAACTGTATGGACCGCCGGAACATTATGAAAACAACTGATCCCTTAGAACCAAAGCCACAATGTTTCAAGCGGAAGTGCTGGCCTTCAAGAAATGCTCAGAGCTTCTGACCAATCAGCAGACAATGAACAAGTATATATATTGCGACGTAATTTTGGGAGGTTCACAGAACCCTCCGTCCATCAGCCCGCCCTCTGGCACCAAAACCCCAACAGAAAATCCGAAAAAAAAAATTGTTAGGCGCCAGGTCAATTTTAAAACGGAACGACCGCCGTATCAAAATCCTTCTCCGGTCCCAGCCTCAATTGCTCCAGTAGCTCGACACGTAGAGATTTAGAAAATCGGAAGCTGAAAGGGGATGCAACTGGGAGCCTCAGCAAAAATAAATAAAATAAGAATTGTCGGGGAGAACAATATTTAATTTAAAAAAATCAGTCTCGATCCATAAAAAAAAATGATAAAATAAAATCCCCTTAAGTCGACTACGTGTTACAGAACATTTAAATTAATCGGTAAAGTCAAATCGTCTGATTAGGTTTATACAGGTTTTTCTGAAGTCCAAAAGTTTTCAAAATAAATAAATTAATAAATAATTAAATAGTCACAGAAGTCAGAATTAATTAAAATGTCAAACAACTGAGTCACGAGACTCGAGTTGTTATTATCAACGAAACTAAAAAAAATTAACGGAAAACAACTGAGTTACGAAACTCAATTGTTAGAAGTCGGAGAAGTCACAAATTTTAGCAGAAATACTTTACAAGAAATTGTCACATTAATTCAATGGCTCGAAACAGTAACGCGAAAAATCGATAGGTCTACGTGACCTCGAACACTCAAAAATACACGAATAAATACAAGACTGGAGACAAATACTCCAAAAGTCACGGGACCTTGAAACTAAGTAAGTTAAAATAAATCCAATGGCGAGGTTCTTATAAATTTCACGACGCGAAAAAATTACCTCACAAACTATTTAATCACTTCCAAAATGATAACAAGAATACATATGTTGTCACTACATATGTTTTGCATGGGAAGGAATAATAATAATAACAGAACAGGGTTTTTCCAATGTAACCGATTAAGTAATGCAGACCGGGCACTAACCTTTATTTCAGCAATATCCTTCGAATTAGTCTTATTCTTAAGCCTTCTATTAGCAGTATCTACTTTAGTCATTGACTTTCTCATGAGTCTCCCATCGTTATCCATCGTCGCATCCAGCACTGCTTGTCGCCTTTGTTTCGAATCTGTATTACCAATTTTACCAGTTTCTATCTGCGGTCCAAATTCAACCAATGTTTGAAAGTCGGCGTGCTGACCAAGTCGGAATCCAACTCCAAGCCTAGAATCAGTGCCTAGAAAGCGAATATCCAATTTTATAATTAAAGTCAGGAATCTCCATAATCATCTAAGAAAAATTGTGTGACAATTGAATTACAACTCGAGAACGGGCAATTATAGGAAAGCATTATAATTTCGGATTAGGTCATAATTACTTTAGTGCATAATTCCATGTGCTCGAATTGGAGAATTATCAGGAAAATCAATTATGACTCCGGGAAAGAATAGATAAAATGTACTTTCATAATATACTTTTGTGGGTTTTCATTTCATTAGAAAGTACAATACATACTTTGACCTACGGATGGATAGTGGTAATCCCGGTGTAGACTATTCTACAAGTACATAAGTAATGCAGGATTTGACTTATCGAGGGTTATCCTGGATGATCGTTAAAATTTGCTATTAAGAGGCCAGATGACATTGTTTGGTGGGTTTGTGATGACCTTGGTCGTCAACTGAATTTGATATTTTCCTATGTTTTTTATTTCTATTTTTGAAAAAAGTCCTCCTTTACAATTAAACCGAATTTAACGAATACCTCTGGGGGACTCCTCTCGATCGTGAGTATCAGGAGGGGAAAGGAAAAAATTTAGAAGTAAAGACAAAAATTCCCTCGTAATCTTTGTAGCAGTCTATACCAGACATGGGCAAGGTGGGAACCCTCGGAGCCCGAGCCTATAAAACCCTATTAAACCGTTTGTTCGGAATACAATACCCCAATTGAATGAGGCGTAACATAGTCAGAGTGGCGGTAGCGGCGGTCATGAAGAGGAGAGCAGTTAGGGAGAAAGGATAGGGCGCGCTCGCCCTCACAATTAAAAAAATTTTACTGGCTAAAAATTCAAACTAATTTTCACAAATCCAACTTGAAAAATTCTTGGCTGGACCAGGAGTGATTCTTAAAACATCGTGGTGCAAGAAATTGGTAAGTTCTTAGTCACCTTAATATCCAAGAATTATTTAGTTAAAAATTGAAAAAAATATGAGATGTTAGTTCTTCAAAATTTATTCAATTAATTATTATTATGGAATTTCAAAAAAATTCTTGTCTCCACTCTTCCTAATTGAAAAATCGTTATTGACCAATTGCTGGAGTAAAATCAAAGCAATTTATCCCTTTCCCACCTTCGTCCCACATTCTACCCTCTTTTTAAATTAATCTCCTTTGCTCTCTCCCCCTTTAATTAATTATCGGGATTTGAGCGAAAATCCCCTAATGCTCGTTATAAATGACAGTCAATATAAGGAAGATTGGTAATGAATACTTTTTCAGCGCGAGCGCAAAAGAAGTATTGAATCATGTATTAATTAGACGCAGTGCTAAGCACATTTGAAGGTTTGTATAAATTTTGTTCTACTATAGGTCGAAATGTTTTGCATGGCTCTGTTAAAACAATAAATAAAGGAGATAATCATTTTCCTTCAGCTCAAATTATTAGTTCTACAGTATAACTGTGTGTGGATGTTATTCATTGTAGTATTAACTAGGGTAGCTCATTTTAAATCCATTTTCGGTTTTCACGTTTGCTAAACCTCCGTATGATAATTCATGCAACAAAAAGGCCATATTTTTTTCCCCGAAATCTCGAATCTTTTCTGGAGTCAGCAATATTAATTGGAAATTTCGTCAGAAGATCTGAACTACTTATAGTTTTTTGGTAAAAATATTGGTGAAAAAGCAAGATACAAGGCACATCAGCCATTTTTTAGACATCTGGCCTGACCTTTTCCAAGTGAGACTAAGTCGTTTATTGGCATTCTAAATGGCGGTAGTTTTTTTTCAATTTTGGTGAAATATTTTCAATTCCAGATAACTTGAATGAGACCAATATATCGCTGAATACTTGATTGCATATTAATTTCAACAAAATTTGAATGCTCGAAAAATCTCAATTTGGAGAGAAGTTAGTCAATAAACTTTTTATTTAGGTTCATTTTCTAAAATACAAACATAATATTAAGATTAAATTAAATTTTATTTCCCTCAAGCTTACAAATTTTTACCTGGGCTATCATAGTTTCATACCTTATAAATGGAAGGAGACAATATAAGGGACAAACATTCACTTATTGAACAACTTTATGGCCGGTGTAACGCGGCTAATTTTTTGAAAAGGACAAACCGGACGATAAAGACCCTTCTTCCCCCCCATCAACAAAATAAAATATTTGGGCGCCAGTTACTTTTGTCGTCGGAAGTGATAAGCCGGATTACAACCAAAGCAGAACAAAAATCCTTGGAAACGCAAATTGAAATTGGTAGGTTCCCGCGCTGCTCAGTGGAGGTTGTGGAGAAAGGGATGGAGCGAAATGGACATGGATTATCGGGTTTGTAAAATTATCACTAACGCAAGCGGCCGAAGTCAGAGTGAGAGTGAGAGTGATTATATCCTTTCAATTGTTCTATACATACAAAAATGGTTAAAAAGGAAGCAAGAAAAGTGGGGTCGACAATCCCCAAAAATCTAAATCTTTATTAATACACAACGGGAATTAAGTGTAAGTGTGAGAGAAGTTGTGAACGCGAAATCGTATAATCAAAACAACCCACTGGCTCTATCCCCTATTCTTCCTAGCAAACCAAACCACTATAAATGGCGAGGGCCCGCATGGCTGAGACGACCCTGGGCGCAGCATGAACCGAGCATAAATACTCGCGTGGCCCAGGGCAGCGGAAACACCGGGGAGATCCCCCAGCGGCGCGGCGCGCAATGAGAAATTTGATTACACAGCGAAAAACGGAAAGCAACGCATGTTTCCTCGATGAGGGAGGTTGTTCATACACGGCACTGAATTATCCCCAAAGTCGATACACAAAAAAGATTAATACAACCCGACCCGATCGCGACAAATCCCTTGCAAGAGAATCAATCCCATGATCGCATGACTTTGCGCAAAAGATAAAAAGAAATGGCAGGTACATTTCTTTTGGCAGAGTGCATCCGAATGGCCAAAAGCTTGCCTTTTGGCAAGGAAAAGGTGAAAGGAGAAAAGAAAATGAACAGGGAGGAACTCAGCGATTCCCAACTCCACTCAAAGGTTCCACATATGCTTACCGCCAAAATTCTGGAAGAGGATTCTGGGAGATTTTCCCAGCTCGGCGGTCGAAGCGCAATTCTATTTTCTCAGTAACTTAATTTTTCCCCGAGCTTTTGGCGTACTAGGTGCCGCCATTTTATACCTCCACGAAGGCGACAATGCAAATACTGAACTGCGTGCAGTTAACCCCCCTTTTCCGAATTTTCGGAATTTTCTATTTTTTTCCAATAGTAGATATTGTGAAGAAGATTGATAGGCCATAATTTAATTTTGATAGTCATTACTTTTTTCAAAATAAAAATGTGAAAAATTGACATTTAAAAAAAAGTTCCACTTCATAATTAAGGAATTTCTTTTCTACCAATTGATAGCTAATCGTTTGAAGGATGTTGATAGTTGAACGATAATAAGTTATTGGACTGTATTAGCGTGTTAAATAATTAATTCTTAAAGCATGCGGTCCGTGGCTGAGCACAACCAAGCACAGCCAACATGGCCGTTACTACCATCCAACGCTCGTCTGTCATTTCGGAGTGAATTACCCTCGGCCAAATTGTACTTTGAATAATTCAAATGAATGATTGATATTTATTAACCCCCCACCCTTATTCTCATATTTGTGGAGCAAAAACCCTCTACTCATACACTGTAAAATCAGTAGCGAAGTGGTAAAACGCTACGAGTCCAATTTTCACACTCGTTGGAATGATTGAAAACCATTAATTCTTCTTGGGGCTGAGCAACTTAGAAGGAAATATGGTCGACGGGTGTTGTTAGCAGCTCGAGGATTCGCACAAGATTCTTTGGGATACTATGAAAGTATGTCACGTAAAAATTTTTCCAGGAAAATACTCAGAATTGGGATCAACCGACCAGTGTTCGGAGCCGTCCTGTGATCAAACTAATGTACTCATTTGTCGTGCAAAAAATGGTTAATGCAGTGAAATGCAACTTTACTCCTCTTCAGAAACCAATATAATGATTAGTAATTTCATAAGACGCTCTAAAACAATTCTATATTGAAGTTATTACTGAATTGCGTTCGTTCAATCCCTGGTATTTGAAGACTCTTAATTTTTCGAACACTTATTCTAGAAACACAAATAAATCGATTGACTCAACTAAACATTATTGAACTCAATAATATTGCCAAAAATAATATTAGTGATTATCCCTGGTACTCTAAAAAGTTGTGCTGATATTTTTTGGTGTTTGATCCACAGATCCAGCACTTCCTGAAGTGGAAGGGTTATTTGAATGATGAAAATACGTAGGAGCCTGAAAAAAATCTCGATTGTCCTGATTTGATTTCTCAGTTTGAAAATCAGCGCAAGAAGGAGGAGTCTGCCCAGTGGCAAACAACGTGAGGAGAAAGAGTCCGAGAAGAGGAAGACCTCGAGTACACAAACTCTGACACAGACAAAGGAAAAAAGCGTTGACAATAACAAATTACAAGGTAAAACTGAAGAAAATTAAATTATTCAAGAAAAATAAATAAAATTGTGGAATTATTTCGGTAATCAAGGGTTTAAGGAGATAGTGTCAAAAAACATTTTCTGTTGGACATTTCCTTGGCTACAAGAAAAGGTCTTTTTACATTATCTCCTAGAATTAACCATTAACGAGATAAATTCCATAACCAATTAATAAAAAGGAGGTGATGAAAAAATCTCAAGGTTTGTTTTATGAATTTCTTGAAAAGGAAGCGGTTTACAGAAAAATATCAAAAAACCTTTTTTCTATAAAATTTTATTCTCCACAAAAAATGTCTGTTTGAGGATTTTCTAGGTTTTAGGGTGGACGTGGGTGGAGTGAATGAAAGGGAGGGTTTTGTTGAAGTCCAGAAAGAATTGAGCACTGTTCACTTTACAATAAATTATATTTGATGCCGTGGAATCGAACCACGGCGTAATTAACAGATACTCTTTGGTTTTTACAATGAATTGGTTGAGATGCTGGATTTGAATTTCCGTTGAATTTACGCAAAGTTGGATAAGCTCGCGATTGCCACCGGAGATGTAGCGAAAAGATGAATAAATCGTGATGTATGGATTCTGAGCATGGACTGAATTTTCTATGCGATTTAAGGTGTGCACTATATCATTGCCGATACGCGACTGTGATTTCCGGTTGATCGTCTTCCGGGTTTTCGGTTGACCGTTGACTCGAGATGTCACGATGATTATCGAAGTTATCCGAAAATCGACCGTGAATCCTTGAAACGTAGTAGCGTTTCAAACAATGTCTTTTGTAATTTTTCTCTAAACTCCTTCCTTCCGAAGATATTCACAAAACAATCCAAAAACTCACCAATAACAAAAAATCGAAAAGGACTAAAATGTTTTCTTTTCAGGTTTTGACGGAGAATTAGAGCTTGCGAGAATCATCGCAGCAACACCTTCAAGTGGTGGACTTATATTCCTGATTAAGTGAAAAGGCACAAATGACGCAGACTTCGTTGCTACACGTATCGCCAAGGAGAAGTGCCCACAGATTCGTAATGAAATTTTACGAGGAGACTCACGATATGGAGGACTCTATCAAGCCTGACCCCGAGTAGCCCTCAGTCTTCCCATACCTCTACACAGCTCGTTTTAAGATGTGTTACATCTAGGGATTTTCAGAACGAAAACATTAAGAGAATCAAAAAACTATCAACAGTAAAAACGTAAACCCAAATAAGTTATTACGAAAGTCACATAAATGTTAAATGTAAATGTAAATTATTTTTAAAAAGGTTTGAGCCTGATGGAATGAGCTGATTACAATTTTGATCAGTGAATCAGACTAAGTTAGAGGGATAAGAACTGTATATGCAATATTTTTCATTACCAGTTAATAATAAACAAACAGTGCGAAAGTATGACGTAAACGTACGGACGTTTTGAATAATTTCACAAAGTTTATGAACGTTACAAGTAGCAAAATGTCGTTAACGAGTGGTTCTACAGGAAACGGTCGAGAGATCTTTCGTGTATGGAAATTCATAAGAATACAGATGAGGAACAGCACTCTCGATTGGTTTACTTTGTTTTTTTTTTCATATGTGAGACAAATTTTTCCTTTGGCTTATTATAAAATAGGGTTCCGATACTTCTA